GCTCGGTGGGAAGCCTGCTTCTCCCTCTGACCCTCTCCCTGCTTGTGTTCCCTCTCTCGCTGTCTCTCTGTCAAATAAATAAAAAAATCTTTAAATTGGAAAGGAACGAAATATACACATATTTGTCCTTATTTAACTATAAGACATAGTTGAATAAGTTGTAATATACAAAAAACCAGTTTATAAAACAATATTCATAATTCCATTTTGTAAAACAAAAAGTCTGGAGAATTATATAAAAAACAGTAACAATGGTTAACCTCATATAAAATAATGATATTATAGTTCATTTTTATGTTATCCTTTTCACAATTTGGTGTTTTCAGCATCATTACAATAAGTATATATTACATTCAAAATCACAAAAAAAGAAGACATTTTCATTTTTAAATTGAAATCATATATAATTCCGTCACAAGATAACCAAGTAAGTGTTAAGGATAACATCATTCAACAAGCATTCATATTATTACTCTATATGATTCTCCACGTCAGGTCTCCAAAATCCAATATAACATTATACACTCTGAGGAAAGAACAAAAGACTCCCTTCTTGGGGCATCTAGATGGCTCAGTCAGTTAAGCATCTGCCTTCGGGTCCTGGGATTGAGCCCCAGGTCGTCCAGCTCCCTGCTGCACCCTCTCCCTCTGCCCTCCCCCCTTGTGTTTTCTCTCGCGCTCTCTCTCTCTCTTTCAAATAAATAAAATCTTTGGGGGAAAAAAAGACTCCCTTCTTGTCAGTTCATACAACATGGATATGTTGGGAAGGTATGAGACCACCCAAAGCTGTTCCAAGTTATCCTTCTTTTGTTTATCTTCCATCCTTTCTTTCCTTTTTCCCCATTCTCTGCCAAAGAATAAAGTAGTAGATTAAATATGTACTAGACATTTTAGATAGTGATTATATATAACCATTGTCATTCATTTTGATTGTCTTTAATACTTAGCTGGTAGCCTCTAATCCTATCAGCTAACATAATTCTTAAGTGATTCTGAGAATTACTTGGTAATTACTGGGGGAAGCAGCAACAGTAAAACATTCCAAAGAATATGCTGGACACAGAAACACTGTTAACCACAAATTCAAAAGAAATGAGTTCAGGGTTATCCTGAGTGGTCTTTGGAAGAGAATGCTAAATCTCTTCCTAGGTAAAATTTACCAAATGAAAATACAGAGAAGTATAAATTAAAATTACACACATTTAAAAGAATGAATAGACATATGTATTTATATGAAAATATACTTAAAATATATTACTAAAGGCAATGGATAAAATACATAACAATGTATATAGTATTATGGTCATTTTAGAAAATATTAAAATCATACAATCTCATATGCATGGTGTTAGTGTTTGTAAAGGAACAGAAAAAAGTCTGGAAGGATACACATCACACTGTTGACAATAGTTATTCCTGGGGTAGGAAGGAACTCTGATACTTTTCCTTTGTATGTTTTACAGCAAGCATCAATATTTTAAAAACTACAAACATTAAATGGGTAAAGCACATGGCACAGAGTAGGTGGCCAATAAGTATCCAAATTCTTTCATAAATATTTCATTAGGAAGCATAAATTCTTACCAAAATAAAAATTTTTAATAGCTCAGTACCATATATGTGAAGACTTTAGAAAAATCATTTCAATATAAGTTGATGGTGTTGATAATACTACCTGAAACTCTAGAAAAATCTGTAAAGTTTAAGAAAACCTGACTTTACCAAAATTTTTCCCACCAAAAATTACTGTTCTTCTTATGAATTAAACACAGGACCAAGCATTATCTCTAGCTTGCAATTAGCCTACTGTATAAGCTTGACATACAAGGAGTTGAAACCATCTGTTGCAAGCATCAGAAAAATTATTATGAATATTTTGGCATATTAATTTCTTTTTATGTATGTATAAATGTATATTTTTATGTTCAATTGACACCACATTGCTTTTTACACTTAATACTGTATTATAGAGATAGAATTTCCTCAAATACTCTCTGAAAGTAATTTTTAATGACTACTTAATAGCCTATTATAAGGATAGATATATCATAATTCATTTAAGATTTACCTGTTGTAAGGTAATTTAAGTTGCTCTCAAATTTTCACTATTATAATTCTAATGAAACTGTAATAATCATCTTTACAGGATATTATTCTACTTAGAATTATCAGTTTATAATGTTTATCCAACATTTTTTAATGTGGTATATGTTTCTCTTACTGATTTATGACACTCTCCATTTCACATTAAGCTACTAACATTTTCTAGTCTGTTTCCAGGCTGCTGTAGCAACCAAAATATTGTTTTACTTATTATTAATAATCTGTTTTTATATTAGAGTACTGTACTTTTCCTTATTTTTGCTTTTTTGTTTCAGATGAATTTTAGAATAGTTTGATATGATATCTCATGTAATTCTGATTGAACATAGGGTTCATAGCCTTACTATAGAAAGAGCTCTTACAAGTTAGTAAAGTTTGCTTTTTCATTTTAAGATTCTGAACCATATTTATGACATATATGTTGCAAATATTTTTTACTGATTTGTCATTTTGAACTTTTTATGGTGTTTTCAATTTTTAAAAATTCAAATATATAAATATATTGTACTTGGTGTTTCTGTTTTACAAAGGCCTAGTCCACACCAAGTTTATATGAAATACTTGCCTATATTTTCCTCTAGTATGTTGATGGTTTCATTTTTTAAATATAAAGTTGCTAAAACATCTAGAATTCTCTGTGGAGGGGTCGATTTTTAAATCGTTTACCCATTATTTGAATGCACTACTGAATGCTTTATGCTTTTCCAACTATTTTGAAATGTCACCTTAATCGTTATGTTCTTATGTATGTCTAATTTTGTTTCTTGTCTATTCCATTTCATTTGATGCAGGCACCAATAAACTATACCACTTATTGTACCTTTAAAATAAATTTGAGTATCAATATTAGCAGGCATCTTCTCTCAATAATGTCTTTCAGACATCCTCCCACATTTATACTTCTAGGTATTTTCCCCCAAAAAATCATGTATAATAATATGCTGACAGAATAAACAAAGAACAAAGTAGAATTATTATAGACAGGCATTCCAACTTCTACCAGGACATACGCACAAGAATTCAATAGAATTGTTTGAAACTTACTCCAGTTGCCACTCGAATATTTCCTGAGGGGGGTCGTATTCCAGAAGGAGGTCTTCCAGGCAACCCAATTCCACCTCGTGAAACAGGGCGAGCTGCTGAAGGTTTGTGATTATTGGCCATTGTGTGTTCACTTTAACCACTATTTGGAAACAAGAAACAGTTCAATTCTCCTTTGGTATCTTCTAGAGCAAGACACTGGAAATCCACATAGCTTTCCTTCAGATATTTAATCCACAATAACTTTTCTTGCAAACTGCCATTCCAAGTACCACTACAAGGCTAAACCAGCTTCATTTTGTTCAAATTTGACATTGTTACATTTAGTATGGAACCATGAAATCATTTATTATACTATGCCTTCCTCAGTTCCCTATTTTCTTACCAAAATGCAAGTCCCTCTATCTGTCTTCAGCTCTTCCCATATTCTAGTAAAATTTCTCTTTTCTGACATATCCAGCACCTTTCTTCTCTCCCTACTTTTTCTCTCGGCTCTTGGTCTATGATTCATTCCCTGATAGTCTCAATCCTGTTATCAAATACTTCATTTTACTCTTTAACAGAATCCCATCTTGCCCCAAAAACACTTTCAATAGTAAAGGCTGTTTTAGTTTCTCAATCCACAAATCCAAAGCAAAGGGATTGTACAACATTCCCCTTGCTCCCCAGCGTCACTTTCAAAATACTATTCTTCCAAATCTTAAAAAAAAAAAAATGAACAAGATTCTCTGACGACCAGGGAATGCATGCAACCTTACTGCCTTGGATCTTTCCTGGTTGCTTTTATCTAGAGACCACCTAACCTCTCCACCCGTCTTCACTAAAGTCTTTTGTACCTAGTTCAGTCTATTTCAGTTCCACCAGTGTCCAGGATGACTTCCATGGGGATACTGGATTCAATACCTAACATTCTAGGTCACAGTTCCCTGACTTAAATTTCAGTTACTATTTCAACTCCATTTCAGTCATCCATAGCTGTGGGTGGACCTGGAGCTTGTCATCACCTGGAATTGCTTCACCTCAGTATCAACTGAAATATTTCATTCTCTGACCTTATCTCCATTCCTTATACCCGTCTCATCTTTATTCTCACTACATCCCTCTTTAAACCAGTTCCTTAATTCACTCATTCTTTCCCAGTTTATCAGCCCCCTCCAATTCCCCTCAGAATATATTATTTAAAGTTTGGCTGATAATTTAGAATAGAATTTTTCAGATTATGGGTCACGACCTATTAGTGGCTTGTGAAAACAATTTGGCAGGTTCTGATCAATATACTTTAAGCATGAAATAAAAAATATAAGAGTTCACTGCACAAAGGAAGGGTATTGTTTCCTTAAATTTTGTTTCAGTTATGTTTACATAAATTTACACCTTAGTGAAAAAATATTGCTAAAAAATGCTAACCATCATTTAAGTTTTCAGCAAGTCCTAATCACTATTCACAGATGACGAAACAAATATAAGAGTTTGAAGTATCACCAGAATTACCAAAATGTGACAGACATGAAGTGAGCAAATGCTGTTGGGAAAATGGCACTAGTAGACTTGCTTGATGCAGGTTTGCCACAGACCTTCTTCAATTTGTAAAAAAACAAAACAAAAAAAACACAAAAAACCTCAGTATCTGTGAAGCTCAAGAAAAATGAGGTATGACTATTGACGAGCGCCTGGGTGGCTCAGTTGGTTGAGCGACTGCCTTCGGCTCGGGTCATGATCCCAGGGTCCTGGGATCGAGTCCCGCGTCGGGCTCCCGGCTCGGCGGGGAGCCTGCTTCTCCCTCTGACCCTCTCCTCTCTCATGCTGTTTCTCTCTCGCTCGCTCTCTAATAAATAAATAA